CCCCAACTCAGACAGCCAATGGGAAGCAGGGTTAGAATTGGCATTAATTTCTGAGCCTGAGCTCGAGTCTTCACCTGGTTGGGCAGGGTTGGGCCTGACCTGGAGTTTTGTGGGGTGCCTATAGCTCCCAAAGCACCTGGAAAGGGTTTGCACATTGTCAGGGCTCAGCAAATATGGTGGAAAAAGAGGAAAAGAGGGAGACCATTAGCTCTGTGTCCCCACTGGCAAGTTAAGAGCCAGTGGTGGGCATTAACCCCTTAGCAGAGAAAGTAACTTTTCTATCTAAATACCATCCCCTTCAGCAGACCCACTTACTTCCTGCTTACTAGCACCACGTGTTTGCCAGGTACTAGGATACAATGGTGATGAAATACCTCATGGCTTACTATCTAGTGGGGAAATAATCCAAACTCAAGCAGAAATAAGTGGCGATAAAAGGTAATTAAGACAGACTACTATTTATAATTTATAATAGTAACAAGCAAGATAAAATGACAAACAAGTAAGAAAACTCAAAAACTCTTTTGAAGGACAAGAAACAAACTTCATTAAAGAGAAAGGTAGTTCTGTCAATCCTAAGTTTAGAATTTAAAGTGATCCTTCAAAAAATACAAATAAGCTTCTTTCTCAAGTCTATAAGTTGATTCTAAAGTTTTTATGAAAAAATAAGACTAGCCAAGAAAACTCTGAAAAAGAAAAGCAATGGGAAAGACCAGTCTTGCCAGACACTAAAACCTATTATGAAGTCTCCATAGTTAAGGCATTGGCACATGAATAGACACGAATTCATATGGAGCTTTAGTGTACAGAATAAGGCATCCTACACCAGGGAGGGAAGAAAACGAGTCAGTTATTGGTGTCAGGACAACTGGATGGTTCTCTAGAAAGGAAAAAAGTTGGATTCACACCTCATGTCCAATGCCAGAATAAATTCCAAAAGGATCAATGGTTTAAATGTAAAAATAAATCCATAAAATACTAGAAGAAAACACAAGAAACTTCCCTTATAAGTAAGGCGTGTATAAGAGCTTTCAATTACTCGAAATCCAGAATCCACAAAGAAAAGACCAATACATTTAATCAAAACCTTCTGTGCAGAAATACCACTCCAGGCAGAGTTAAAACACAAAGACAAAGTGGGAAAGCATCATCAACTCATATCACAGATAGGGCTGAGTCTTCCTAATTTATGAAAGCACCTAGAATTGGTAAGTGATATGAAAGAGAAAAATGAGCAAGGGCTAAGAACAACCGTTCACTACAGAGGAAGGTGATATAAAAAAGATGTTTAATCTCACTCCTGAGGAAATGCAAACTAAAACTAAAACTGATAGTTATAGTTGGCCCATCCAGCTCACCAAACTTCCAAGCTTTTCTCTCCCACCCTGTCAGTGAGGTCACAGCGAAGGTGGGAATATCCCCCAACTTCAAGGGAGGACAAACTTACAAATTATAAAGCCAAATACCCTTTGAAGAAACAGTGAATTGAACAGATATACTTGGCAGAGGTGTAAAGCGACACATGTGCAAGCTTAACAAAAGAGCAAAATGTAGGAAAACATCTCCTTTCTCTAATTAGGGCTGGTTACATAATTTATGGAACAATTATGCAACGAAATCTTATACAGATGTTTAAAACAAGGGAAGGAGGAATTCTATACAGTGATCTCCATGATATAGTAGGTTTGTAGAGTAACGTGCAGCAGTGTTTACACTGTGCTGCTGCTGGTGTGTGAAGGAAGGGGTCTGAGATTCTGTATTCTGCTGGAAGAGACAAAAGAAACTGGGTGAGGGACATGTAGATACCTTTATTATTCATAATTTATTTTTCAATTGTGTGAATGTATTTCCTGTTCAAAAATAATTTTGACGAATACATGTAAGGTTAATGCTGTAGTAAGTGCTGCTGGGATGTGCTGCTTGGGGCGCACAGAGGGTGCTGAACATCTCCCTGAAGAAGCAGCATTTGAGCTTCGATTCCAAGGCTCAGGAGTAATTACCTGCACCAGAGTCATGTGGGAGAGGGGGAAGTAGCACCTTGAGGGGACCATTGCATCCCACTTTGTGCTGCTCACACCCCTTGCCCGGATAACTCAGTCTCTGGAACAGTTAGACTCTTTACATCAGGAATCATAAGCTAGGATGCAAAGTGGTGATGTTGATCGTCCCCCTTGTCTCTCTTTCTCTCTCTGTCTCTCTCTGATACACACACACACACACACACACACACACACACACACACACAAGCTTCTCTCAGGCCCTCCTCAAGCTTCTCTTTCCATCACATGGTCACCCGGCACAGGGGCCAGGAGGGTACTAACAAGAGAAGGGGCCATGCTTAGGCAGCCTCAGCAGCCGCAGAACAAGTGGAACATAATTGGGGCTGTGAGGAAGCAACCCAGTCCTGCTCTAGCAGCCCTGGTCCTTTCCACCCCTGCAGCCTGCCCATCCTCAGGCTGGGGGCTTGGTCTCAGAACCCAGTGGTCAGACCCTAATCGTACCCTCAAAAACAAAGGGTTTTCCTGGAGTGACAGCAAATACCGAGAGGAGCTTCTAGGGGGAACCCAATCCTGGCCCCTGGGTGGCAAGGTGGCCCCCACTGCAGGGCCTAATTTGCCACATGGGAGAAGCTGCCAGGTCCAAGCCCTCACATGGACCCTGGGCCCTTCTCCTAAAGAAGACAGCAGATGGGAGACAGCTGCTGAGGGCACTGCGGGAGCCAAGGGGAAGTCCACACTGCAGTCAGCTGGAGAGAGTTTCTTGAGCTCAACCTTTTCAGGGAAAACTGATAATGTGGAGGTGAGTTGGGTGGGACTTGTTGGGGCAAGGTCACAGTAAAGACGGCTCTGTCCCCAGACTCCTGCACGGAGAAGCCAGGAGGGGTGACTTGAAGAGCTCACCACTTCATTGGCACAGGCCAGGCACAGAAAGCCAAGGTCAACGGGCTGCTTTGCCCTGGTACGTCTAGGAAGTTAGCTCCTCCTCCACAGCCCTTGCCCACACGGTCAACGGCTGCTTCCTCTCCAGAGATGCTCCAAACAGCTGAAGACATGACAGCTCAAGCCCAGGTCCAGAAAGAGGGGGGAAAGCCAAAAGAACTTGGGATTAGGAATCAGAAGTTTGGGTCCCAAGTCCTGCTCCTTTATTCCCGGCTCCATCCCCTGAAACAATCACCTCATCTCTGAGGGAGGAAGACTTCTTTCCAAGCCTGGGGGAACAAGTATGGGGGAGTATCCCTGTTGATAAGGATCCGTGAGCCCCCAGCAGGCACTGCAAGTGTAGGAGGGGCACCCCCAGCATCACAGCCGACTCAAGACCCAGATTCGAGTCTAGAAGCAGGGCCACGGCGAATCCCTCAAGGACCCCAGCAGAGCCAGCAACAAGGTAAGCCAGGCTAGGGGACCTGCTGCCAGGCCTCTCGCTCACTTTCTAAAAAGCCCAGCTTTTCAACCACTTCACTCCTTCCTCTGCCACTTTCTGCAGGGATTTGGGGAGGTGGGGAATCCTCTGAGGCATTCCTGCAGCTGGCGACCATGACACCGAGCTTCACTTCTAGAATTCCACCCAAAGATCCAGCTCCTGCCAAACTAGATGGTCATGCTGTGTTCTGTCCCAGGGGCTGTGTGTCTGCAGTTGTAGGCAGAGACTAGGATCCCTGGTCTCCCACACAGGAGCCCCTGCTAACTTTTCCGGGTTGCTGCCGTAGCCTGACCAAGCCCAGGAGGACTGGAAGCAAAGTCCTGGCTAGGATGGTGCCAGTGAGACTTAGCAGGCACCTGTGCCCCTCAGTGCTCTGGGAGGCAGGGGCTTGGCTGACCCTTCCCACTGGATCCCTGCCCTGTGAGAGGATGGGCTGCATGGCTGGGCCACTGAACACACCTGCATCTCTGCTGCTTGCTCAGCAGGAAAGTCAAGAGTTAATTATGCTAATGAAGCGCTTGCCTAGTTTATTTATAGACCACAGACTCAGAAGAGAATTGCATAGACTCAGAAAATTAGAACTGAGAGGCTTGCCAGTTACATAACCAATCAATCAGAAATGAAGAGTTGCTGGACTTTTCCATTGAGAAACCATGAAACTATGATTCACAGAACTCTGATCTGCATGCAGGGCCCTAGAAACAGAACCAAGGCATAAAAGAGGCACATACCGGAGCAAGCCCCAACCTTGGTCTCCCACCCCATCCACACCTGGAGTATTATATGTGCAGCCTTTACCACACCTGAACCCCACTGCTCCCCACTCCACATTGCAGGGTAACCATGGGTACCCTAAAGGGGCAGGGCTGTGTCCTGGCAGATGACGATGCCAGGTCCCCAGCCTTCGTTTGCTAAAACTTTCCACATAAAAAGTTTTCTGTGGGTCTGCCAGGGCGAGATGGGGAAAGAATGAGCCTCAGCAACCTGGATGGGGCAGAGGCAGCAGCATCCTGGGGCTTCAGCACTCGTGGGAGAGCCAGGTCCCAGCAAGGCCAGGAAGGAGCTGACACAGGAGCCAGAGCAAGACCTGCCCTTCCAGAGGGCAGGCGGCTGCCAGGCCAGGCAGACTCCACACTCCTCAGAGGGGCTTCAGGTCATCAGTGACTCTCTCGAGAAGTTCTCCTTGTCTTACACCCCAGTCAGGCCAAAACTGGGTAAACCCGAAGTCAAGAGATTAACCATCATATCATCACAGTTGCTGTTTATTTAATACCTCCTATAGGCAAGGTGTCTCATGCTTATGCTCATATTTAATTCTCAACCGTGAAAGGTATATAGGGTCATCTCCATTTCCTAGACAAGGAAACTAGACTCAAAAAAGGCTAAGAGACTTGCACGAAGTTACCAAGGCATAAGTGCTAAGGGAGCTTGTACAGCTGGCCTGTGGGACTCCGACCCTGCGCTCCCTCCACAAACTGGCCCAGCAGGTGCCAAAGCCAGGAGCTGGATCAGAGAATAAATTCTCCAGATCCCCACCACCCCCCACCAGTGCCCCAGGACCCCACCCCCTCAATTCTTACATGGCCAAAGGGGTCCAGATGGTTGTTTGTCAGCTTCAGCTTCTGGAAGGAGACCAGCTGCCGCATCCAGTGGGCCCCAGTGGCAGGGGAATCCGGGTGGACATAGAGCCTTCCTGGCATGGCGGGCTCTGCCTTCCCTGCCACCATCCTGCCAACAGAGCAGAAGGAGCCACAGCTGTCAACCACCCTGGGGCCTGGGGGGCCCCAGATTCTCTGGCCCCTCTGAGAACAGATCCTGTAGAGCTGAAAAAAAAGTCACTGCCTGTACCATCACACTCTTAGATGAGGACAGGCTTAAGGGATGGAGGATAGTGCTGAGGAGGGAAGAGCAATTCTGAGCCTCTTTTACTGCAGTAGATAGAGAAAGGGAGATTACAGAGAAATGTGATTATGTACTTAGAGAACTGGGGTTCATCACAAAGATAATGTGGGGAGATTTAGGCACTTCTGTGGATGTGGTGGAGTTATTTTAAATGTTATTATTTATTATCTTGTTGAATATGTCACATTACCCCAGAGGGCCTAGTCAATTTTCAAATTGCTTGCCCCCAAACCATGGTGAGAATTGATTAGTAGGTAATCCCTGGGCCAGAGGCTGCTCTGAGCACTAATCCAGCCCAGGGAGAAAAGAAGTAGAAACCCAACCCCTGACAGGGCCTGCTCGCCAAATCCTGCCTCCTCAACCCATCTCTGCTGCCCAGTCACCCACCCTCCAGCTGCTGGTGCATGCCTTTCCCCTCTCTCCTCCAGTGAACGCTGTTGGGGCTCGGGGGCACACAGGGTACTATAGAGGTGGCCTCAGAGAAAGCAGCCCAGCATTTATTTACTGGGCCCCAATTTGGTACTACCCTTCAAAGTGCCAGTTTCCCCAGCCTTTGGCCAGAGGGTCCAGTTACCCACGCAGGGAGCGGCTCCCCACTCCTTAGGGACGGAGGACACACAGCTTAAAAGGGGGGGCTTAAAAGGAAGTGGGTGGGAAAATAGGAGACAGACCAAACAATGGACCCCAACTGGCAGTCCCCCCTAAAAGGGCTCCCATCCTCCTCCCCAGTGGGCCTCTGCTAGCCTGAATCCACCCGTGTTGGCATCTGCCGCTCAGTCCACAGCACGGTTACGGTCCTGCTTGCACACACCTGTGGGCAGAGCACAGACCCTGAAATCCACCCGACACCCACAACAGTGCAGCTCATTTTTCAGCCGCAGCCCCCTGCAGCAGGGGTGCGGACACTCGCCGACCCTCCTCAGCCTCTGCAGGGCCGGGTGCCAAGGCTGCGATGGCCAATCACCTAGACTAACTGGTGGGGATGGGTGTAATGGTGGAAAGAGCAGGTGAGGGGAAGCGGGTGACACCCCCGAGGGTGATACGGGGGCCCCCAGGGGCCTCTTACCATTTGTTGTCACAGAACTTGTAGCGGTGGTCATCCGCAGGGACGATGTCAATCAGCAGGATGTACTTGGTCTTGGGGTTCATGCCTGTGACTTTAACCTTGTAGCTGGGGAACATCCTCCTGAGGGAAGCCACAGGGTGAGGAGGAGGATGGACAGAGCCCCAGGAGAGATGGCCCAGAGTGGGCCAGGAGGCCGAAGGCCTTGACAGGCACTGCCCGCTCAGCAGAGGTCTCAGCTCGTCAGCGCTTTCTGACCTGGTGCCTGTCACATCCCCTCTGGCCTCACTCAGCCTCCCCCGCACAAGAGGAGGGCTGCACTACCTGTTCTTCTGAGCCCCAGAAGCTGTCAGCCTGTGTTTGGGAAAAGAATTTATTCCATTACCCAATTTAATTGCCCCTCTGCCATGATCCCGTAAAATTTGGGCCTAGTGACTGTGAGTAATGGAAGCATGGAAACCTTGATCAGGATCACGAGAGAGGATGTTGGCACATCCTGGTTCAGTTTCCCTCCTGTCCTTTGTCAGTCCACACACGACTAAAGTTCTGGGATGCCATTTCAAGGACAGACCTGGAACTCTGTCTGTTGTTTCCATACGATATGAGATGCCTCCTCTGGGTCATGTCTCTGGGTCATCGTCCATGTCCCATGGAAGCCCTCAGGCCTCAAGCCAACTTGCAGGAAAACAGGAGAGTGTTCTAGGTCTTTGGGTTCCTTTGGTATTTTTGCCTTGCCTGGGCCTGCATTCCCCTGATAACTGGGTATGAGGGGAAGTCAGTCCAGGAGCACCATGGAGAAGAACACAAATCCTAGAACCACCCTGCTGTGGCCCCATCACTGACCAGCTTTGAGGCCTTGAGCAACTTGCTCACTCTCTGGCCTTGGTTTCCTTATCTCATAGGTTGCTATGTGGATGGCATGAGTCCATTTGTGACTATTTTCACTGAACCCCACTATATTCCTCTCTCCACAAACCAGGGATATGATGTTCTGTGGAGATGGATTCACCAAAACATGAAACAATTTCTAGTCTCACAGCCCATGCTGAGGCTGTCCGAGTCCCTGAGGCCCAGAGACCCCTGGGCACACACACACATACAATGTGCTCACCTATCTGCAGGGCACAGCTCCCTCCCTGACACCTGACTTTCATTAGAGGAGTTGACAGAACTTCCTCACAATCTCCAGACACCCACACCCCCTCATAGCTGATCTCCCACAGAGGTGTTCCCCAAGACAGCGGCAGGATCCAAACTACATTGAAGACACTAAGGGCAAAAGGAAGCATCTCCCCTGAGCTGTGAGCAGACCCAATCAAACCACTAGGGGAAAACCATCAGGAGGTCCTCTCTGCCTCATTAAGCCAGGAGAAGTACAGGACCCTCAAGAGAAGCTGTCCTAGACACCTCAAACAGATGATTGGACTCCTGCATTTTGCTAACAGGGTACCAGCTTACCTGGATAAGGCAGGGATTCCAGAAGGGATCAAGCCCGCAGGCCCTACAGCAAGCCCAGGTCAGGAGCCCACGGTCAGGAGCCCACGGTGGAGGGTTCTGTTAGCCCCCCGCCCAGTCTCCAGTCCAGGCCCTCTGTGCACTCTCTCTCTTGCTGCAGTGGGCCAGGGAGGCGGGAGGTGTGTGACTGTGTGTGTACAAGCGCATGTGTGAGCATTCGGTGGAGTGCGCATGTGTGCATGTGTGCGTGCCTGCAGGGAAGAGGGAAGTTCTAGCAGCAAGTCTAGGGACTTATAAACCTTGTGGAAGAATTTGTCTCAGATGTCAATTGAAAGCATTTTCAAATGTCCACCCCACCCCCTCTCCAAGAATGGGGGAAGTGAGGGCTCAGGAACCCAATCCTGCCTCCTGCTTACCAGCCCCCATATCCCAGGCCTGGGGGCACAGCTGGAGCCTACCCCACCCCTCTTTCCTGGCCCAACCTCTCCCCTGGTGGGCCTAAAAATGAAAGGAGGTGGGGGAGCAGCTGTGTCACCCCTCCCTCCCTGGGGGAAAGCCAAAAATCCTGTCCTTCTGGGCCACCATTTTCTAACTGCTACAGATTTAGGCACAAAATGGGGCAGCCCTGGCTGTGCTTGGACTGGCCTGGCCCCAGTGCCCTGCACTTAGCCTGGTAATCACTCGAGATGGCAACAGCAGAGGACACATGTGGGGCCAGGGGCCGAGGGGACCCAGCCAAGGGGCCAGGAGAAAATGGCCACCAGTCTTCATCATCTAGGCTTAAAGGGAGATTAAGGATTGTGGGTGTTGTGCCCCTTCTACTCCCTACTACTCTTCATCTCACTCAAGAGGCCAGGCTGACACTTAGCCAGTGCCTTTTAGAAGGGCAGTAAGGGGTCTGCTCAGCCTCCCAAGGCTCAGACTTGCTGCCATGTGATTTGGCCTCTCCTGCAAGCTGATCTTAGACCAGACTGCTGAATGATAAAAGCCTGGGGGGGCTTTGCAGGGAAGGAAGGTAACTCTAGCCTCTTCCTTCCCTGCCTACCAATCCCCCCTTCCTAGGGCAGCAGTCCTGAGAAGCCAGGAGGGAGGACAGGCTCTCTGGTCTTGGCTGGGAGGTCCACCATCCTCTGCTCCAGGCTGAGCCACAGGGGCCTCGCAGCTTCCATTGCCCTGGTGGAAACAGCTACCGCCCTCTCTGGCAGGGTCCATATTGACAGCTGCTGGGGGCCATGCAGAGCCCAGCTGGCAGTGACCCTCATCGCTACCCTTTCTCCACCTATGGAGCCTCCAGAAGGATGAAGGACCAGCATGTGGACGAAAGCTGAGTAGGAAGGGCAAGCTCATGCTCCACCCTCCCCACAGGCCTGCTGCCCAGGCTGAGGGAAGAACTCAGGGTACGCAGGCACCGGCGTTTGGGCTTCAGTAGGGCCCACAAGCGAGGCTAGGCGGTGCCCCCAGGTGGACAGACCAGAGGCCAGGCGGGCTGGGGTGCTGACTTCCTCTGGGCTCCTGCGCAGCAAAGGTGCTCTCTACTGAAACAGGTGAAGCCATGGGGTGCCATGTCCATTGTTTCTGCACCTGAAAACTAACCTAAGCTGGAAATGAGCACCTCAGTGGGTGGCAGAGGGAGGCCTACGAAGAGAGGGAGGGACTGACTCAGCACAGGCCAGAAAGTGGAGGTTCGCTGCCCCTCCCCGCCCCCCGCGGGCGCCCCTCGCGGGCCTTGCTGCACCCTTTCCCGCGAGTGCGCGGCTCCTCTCTGCACCCCCAGCGCCACTCGCTGCTCCCCTGGCTCCCGCCCCGCTCGGGCTCGGGACCCGCAGGCCGAGGGGCGCTCCCGGCGCGGAAGCGGCTCCGCCGGGGAATAAACAAGCCGCCCGCGCGGCCGCCCCGGGGGAGATGAAAGCCGGGGCTGCTCCTCTGATCCTGACACTGGCGCTGGAGGGGCGCGGGCTGCAGCCTTTATCTACTTCATACTCGGAAATGGCTTTAGAATGAACTGCTAGGATCAGCTTCCTCGGACGTTTTCGGCGTGGGAGACTTACGGGGCGCTGGGCAAGGGTTTCGGGGCATCTTGATTTTGGCAACAAACCGGCAAATGCGAGCTCGCGGCTGAGCGGGGACAGCAGGTTACAGCTGGACTCGCAGTCGCCGGCCGGGACCCAAGCGCTTGCCAAAGTCAAGGCCGCGCGAGTCGCCCCGCACCAATCCTGCCGGAGGGGGTGCGGTGGGGGGCGCGGAATAGCAGTCCTAGGGGAGCCTATGGATTCTCTCCACTCAGCTGGACCTCCTAACCCCAAACCTTCGCAGCTCCGACTTTCCGGATTTAAATGTAGATGCAAAACTAAATGCAAGGGGTGAGAAATCCGCGGAGAGCCTGCGAGGAGAGGCGTGGTGCCTGGGAGGGCACACTGGACCGATTCTGGGGGCTGGTGACCGTCTGTTTCTTTTCTGGGTGGTGGTACGCGCGCGTGTGTTCATTTTATTGAAGTCTATAGAGCAGTAGGATGACGATCTATTTACTTTCTGCAGGACTGCTCCACTTCAATAAAATGGATATTAAACAATTACCCGTGCAGGTATGTGCAGACATACCTGCCCCCCAACACACACACAAGTCTTGGGGTCCAGCAACTGAACAGAATAGACTGCAGGCGAAGGGTAGGGGGCCACAGAAAATCCACATGCTTTCTATCCCTAATGTCTGGGGATCCTGAGGAAAACTTCTAAATACTTTGGGAAGAGGCCAGGGCCCAGCAACCAAGAGGGTGGGGTTGGGGGTTGCTGGTGCTGCCTATGCTGAGACCAAATGATTTGGGGAGCAATGACAAAGCTAAGTAATTTATTTCTACTTTACACACACACACACACAGAGTTTTCTAATTCACTCAAAGCATTTTTCAGAAATATTTCCCCCAGTTAAGGGGCAGAAGTGAGCGTGTGTAGAATGGATGCTGTTTTGGAGGTCAGTTGCTTCTCTTAGATTTTTTTTTTTTTTAAAGACACTTCCTTATGATACTTTTGCTTTCAGAAAATACTTTAAAAAGAGATCAAAGCACTCTCTCCCCAACCTACTTTCCCAGTGTCTTCAACCCTTACTTCTCTTATCACCCACGCCACTGGGTCTGACGCTCTGTATACAGAGCCAGGGCAATTGGCTTTGAAGCCCCGGATTAAGCTGGGCCAAATCCTTGCCTCAGAATAACAAACAATACAGGTTCAACAGGAGTTCTCATCGGTAGTTCATTTTTCAAACGCAAATTCACTGTCACTAACACAAGCAACATTGAACTCAACAGGCTATGAAGGCTGATAGTGGAGATTTATCTGGTGGCAAAACCATGACCTAGGAGTAGAGCAGCCAGACCATTAGGAAATTTTCATTTTGGGGAGGTTTATATTTAAATTTTTGTGGAGTTCACTTTTATCTGTGTTTGGGAGAAAATGCAGTTTCTCACATGTATCAAGCTTGGCAGGGATGTGAGAAGGCAGAGCGAGGGATCTGCTCTCTGCAGTTAACAGCATAGCCCTCTGGGTAGGAGCCTGCAAGGGACAGAGACTGGCTGGGGAGGGGTCTGGTGCTGATTTTCCACCTGACATCCAGTTCTTGCACTGTGTTTGGCATTGTATTCATTAGATCAAATCCTATGAACATTCAAAGTCACTATCCAATGTAGCAGACTGTCCTCTCCTTTGACCTTGAGACCTCCCAGGGATTAAGGCAAGAGGCTCAAAACTGGTTTGAAATGTTTTGGATCCCCTTCTCCAAGGCATACCGCTTCCTCAACCAGACAGCAATGATCATGTCCCTAACCAGATAGAGTCTCTAGGAAGAGTAATGACCTCCCTTTGAACAGCCGCTATAAATAAGCAATGTTGTGGTTTTGATCTGGAGTGGGGTATATTATCTGCTTGGCTTGTATAGACCTGACAACAGCCTAACCCTGCCTATCGACACAGCCAAGCGCCTTCCCTTCTCGGGGTTTGGGTTTATGTTCGCTCAGTTCTCCGCCAGCTCTAGCCATGTATGATTCAAGGTTCTGGAGAAGAGTCCAGGCCATCTGCTGAGAAATGGAAGTGTCCCAGGAAGAGTTTAGGTAAAGACACAAAGATGGGGGCAGGGAGAGGCACTGAATGAGAGACTGAAGAGCCACAGGCTCAAGCAAAGCTAGTTGCCCGCTGAGGCTGCTCGAGAGGGGAGGGAGGGGGGAGGGAGAGACAGAGGATCGGCGCTGTGAAAGCATCTATGCAGAAGGTGGACAGCTAAGTAGGAGGGGGAAAGGGTCTGTCGGGGAGGGAAATTAAGACTAGTGACTTTCTGAAGGACTCAGTTTGGTGCAAGAGTAACTGCCTGAGAAACGAAAAACTGGTGAATCCATAATTGGCCAACATCATCGCAGCCATTTGAGATTATTATCATCATTCCCTGAAGCCCATCTTTAAGCTTCCACTAGGACAGGCAAACATCTGCCTAAAACTGGTCACCTCTAGAAGTCTGTGTGTGCGTGCGCGCGCGCGTGTGCATGTATGAGCAGCAAACCTAAGTAATTGGGAGGAAAGAGAGGAGGGGGACCCTCGCAGGTGCAGGAAACCCCACTGAGGTGAATCACAAGTGCCTTTTGTTTAAAATGGTAAAGACCAGGCATGCCCAAAGAGCGCACTGGCCATTTATTTTCGAGAGAGTCAAGGTTATTCCTGCTGCCTAAAAATGGAAGTTCTGAATCTTTTTTCCTTCCCTCCACTCCAGAAGTCACAAGAAATAAATCCACCTTCTTCATGCCTATAATCCACTCAACAATTTGCTGAGCACTGCTCATACAATCCCTGGTTTGAGTCACACAATAAGAAAAAGAGAAAAGGAGGAAGGAGAGCAGATAGCTCTGCAATAACCATTTCTGTTTTATCTGATACCACTGAGTCACCGGAAGTTTAGGCACCTGCCCAAGGGACGGCCGCTAGGAAGAAGCAGGCTTGAGATACTTGTCCCCACACTCTACGTGTGTGACACCCTCTGCCAGCCAGCCCCGCATACATCCTCCCCCTTCCCCAAAGGCACCCACTTAAAGTCCTGACACCTTTACTGACTAATGCCACCTCCCTCATTTAGGCAAGAGAGCAGCCAAGTGTCTAGTCCCTCACCCCTCGCCCCAACAAAACAAAGGAAACCCTGCAAGACCTGCTAGTGAACGGACAGAGGACCACAGCACCCCGACACTGCACAGGCTTTTTGTTTCCTTTGAATAGCTCACCATTCCCTAGCCACACAGTTCGGCAGAGTCCTCTAAAAATTAGGAGAAAAATGCTAAGTGGATGCCAGACGTTTCCCTAATTATGATTAATATTAACTCGCATTTATTGGTGCTTACCTGAGGCCAAGAGCCGTGCGAAGTGCTTTTCGTACAACTGGTATTTTACAGATGGCAGTGGGAGAGGACAGAGACCCTCACACAGTCTTGCCCGAGGGCTGTGCAGATGCAAGTAGCTGGGCTAAAGTGGAACCCCCAGGCCTCTACTTCCCTCCCTGGCCCTTGATGCTTCACCATCTTATTCCTTGGAAACCCCAATTGTGGGCCCACTGCCAGGAAAGGGGACATTTCCACACTTAGTCGGTTCCCTAGGGACCAAAATCAAGCATGAGGACAAGGGGCTGGGGGGCCTGGACCTGAATGTTCCCGTTTCTCCATGGGCAGCAATCTCCCTTCACCTGATAACTAGTCTGCTCCTTGGTTCCTGCCCCACCCCAGAGGCACCATCCCAGAGAATCTCTCCCTCGGGTCCTGTCTGCGTCTTCCTCCTCTCACCCTCTCCTCCCAGTTCTCTCCCACAGACACCAGTGCATTTTAAAGATGTTTCCACTTTATAAATCATCCTTCTCTGGCAGCCACCTGAGAGCTGTTCCCCCAGCAATGCACACGGCCCAATGGTGCCTTGCTCTTGGCTGGGAAGAGCTGGCAAGGAAGGAAGAGTGCCCTGGGCTGAGAGACTTGGGGTTCGCTTTAACCCCTGACAAGTTATGGAAATCGGATAACATCATCATGTCACCTTCCTCCATCATTTGAGGGGCGTCTTTGGGTCTCCAATCAATGCAATTCTGAGAAATCCGGAAGGTCCCTCAAAAGCAAGCCTAGGCAGCTCCCCAGGGGGCCCAAAGTGTGAGAGCTGGGCCTCCCAAGTGGCAATCCTTATTTGCATTTCGTTTGCATAGTGCTGCCCCACCCGCCCCCCCCCAAACCCCCAGGCTCCCCTGTCCAGTAGATCCCTGGGGACTTCTTGGTGGAGTCTGCAGCGGCCACAGGACCTGGGGGCTTGAAAGACACGTTGACCCACCGAGGGAACTCCCCACGGTACCCAGGCCAGGTCTGAGAGGACTGCTAAGGGCTCCCTGGGTATCCCCATGGTTCCCACCCGTCGCCCCTTTCCACCCCAACAAAGTAAATCTCCCAGCGCTGACCTGCCCGCCTTGGTGATGATCATCTCGGTGCCCGCCTCGTGGAACTTCTTCCAGAGCTCCTTCTCATGCAGCCCCACCTTGATGTTCTCGATGGTCTGGTATGGGAGGGAGGGGGAATTTGTCAGCCTGGCCCCTGGCTTCCCAGGCAGCCCTCAGACAGGAGACCGCTCCGGCCCGGGAGCCTGAACCCGAAGATTTCGTTTCACAAAATTATTTTGTACCATGAGGAACTTGAAAAAAATTGAATCAGTAGCTGAAACGCCCCTCCTCGGCACTACACCTATGGGGGAGCCCACACCGGCCACACAGAGTGCCCGTAAATGACCCACTCCGCCACCGCACAGTCACCGCGGGGGCTGGGCACGAGCGCAGGCGGCGGGCACACGGCGGCCCCGGGCGGGCACACGGCCTCGTCCCCGACGCGCACCCCGGTGGGCGCTGCGCGCTCCACGGCAGGGCCGGGCCCGGGCCGGGCGCAGCCGCATCGCTTTGCTCGGGACCGGCCCGCGGTCCCCGAGCCTCCCGCGCCCCCCGACCGCGGCCTCGGAGCTGCGCGGCGGCTCCGGCACTTACCCGCCAGGGTCGGCTCCGTCCCGCCGGGACCCCGGCTTTCTCTCCCGCCCTCCTGGGGTCGTCGCAGAGGGACCCCCGGCCCCGGCTCGCCGGGACGCCCCAAGAGCCCCCTCCCCCGCCAGCCCCAGCGTAGCCCCGAGGGCTCGAGGTGGACGTGGGGCGCAAGGCGGGGAGAAGCAGCGCTGCCCCGGGCAGGACGAGTTGGCAGCCAGCCCCGGACGCGGCCCGACCCCGCTGGAAGCCCGTCCTGCCCACGGTGGGGCGACCCGACACTGGTGACCCTGCGGACAGACAGACCGACGCCCGACCTCCGCCGGACGGCGCGCGCAGTCCTACCTGCTCGGCTGCGGCAGCTGCTGCGACGTCGGCGCCGGGGCCCCGGGGACTGCCGAGCGGGGTTCCGCTGAGGCCCGGCGCGGCCAGCTCCGGCTCGCGGGTGGTGGTCGTGCTGGCCGTGCTGGCCTCCCCGAGCGCTGGGGCCGGGGCCCGGAAGGCCTCCTCGCTCTCCGACAGGCCCTTCTCCTGCAGCATCTCCTGTGGGCGCAGCACACAGCCAGTCACATGGCCAGGCCCACTCTTAACCAGGGACCCCGCAATCCTCTCCCGAGGTGGGGGGGGCGCTGCAAGGCTGGGGGCCGTCCGGGCACCTGTGGACCCCGCCCCCTCCAGGGCTCGGGGAGGGAAAATAAGTGGAGGGCAGGACCCTTGCCTCCTCCTTGGGGGTTCTGGACCTGGGGCATTCTGGGAGTGTTCAGGGTCCGCCTGCCCCTGGGGGTGAGGCTGTGTGATGAGTAGGTCTGGGAGAAGTACCGCCCTCTCGGCGTTGCCCCAGGTGCACCCCCAGTGCCTCCCTCCTGCTGGGCTCCAGTGGAGTCTGAGACCTGGGTCTTTTTCTGCTGTTCCCTAATAACTGGGGTCCAGGCCTCACTCTTGACTCTGGGGAGCCAGGACACTTTCTTTGCAAGCAAGAGAGGAGAGTCAGGTCTGGAGGCAGTGCCCAGGCTCCATGGGCTCCACATCTGCAGAGAAGGCCCATGGCCAGGCACTCCTCAGGCCTCTGCACTCACCCACTCCCTCAGATGCAGTCAGGTACAGACACCCTGAACCAAAGGCTCCACTCTCACACATTCCCACCTCCACAGACACCCTGCATGTCACCCACGCAGTCACACATATCCTCACACCCAGATGCAGGACCCTCACACAGCTTCCTAGTCACCCAATCAGTGACACTTTTCTAGGGCAGCTCTGATTGAGGCCCTGAACTCAGCCAGGGGCCTCCTCAGCATAGCCCTCACATTCACATTTGCTGGTCACACACACTTCAGCTGGGCTCTACTTTGGGGTAAAGGGCCCAAACCCTTCTCAGCTAATATTAGGCCCAAAGGGTGGGTCCAGTTCGCAGGCACAGCCTAGTCCTTCCCCAGGGAACAGCCATCCTCTCCCATGTCCAGGAGTATTCACCCGCCTGCCCAGCTTCCTGCTCCCTCATGGAAACTGGTGTTGGGATGTCAGCAGGAGAGCTCAACCTGCCTGTCCTGCCTCCACCGGGAGGTGCAACCCAGCATTATCTCTGCTTCTTTCTGCTTTCCACCTTCTGCTCATTACACCTTTTTCTGGATTTGGGCCTTTTTATATTTCTGACTACCTCTTTTGTGGATGAATGTTACCCCTCTCCCCTACCTTCTTTTTGTTCTCTCCTGGATCTCCCTGGGCATCCCATGGCCCAGGCTGCACACCCTGTCCACTGGCCTCCCCATCGTGAGGCAGAGACTTTGGCTCCCAGAGCCTTACAAAGTAAACAAGCCAAGTGCAACCTAGGAGATAAAAAGGAGACCGGGGCCAGTTGGGGCTGGGAAAAGCCCATAAAGATAAGGCTGGCAGCCCCATCCACCCTCCTCCTTCAGGCCATGGGCAGCATGGAGCAAGACTCCAGGGCTCCGCCAGTGCCAGCACCCATCTTGGGCCAGGTGGGAGTATTAGGATCCAAGCAGAGAAAGTCAGGAAGACCGGGGGACAGTGGAGCAATGCAGCCCAATTTACTGGGATTCCGACTCTACCTGGAAGTCTTTGGGGATGGGCACCTGCAGTCATCCGGCCCCAGGTGCCTCAGTCCCCCAGACCTGGAGGAGGGGCCACCTGGCACGCTGCTGGCTAGTCTACCAGGTCCTCTTTCTCAGCACTTGTTATGTGGTTAGCGGTGCAGCCCGCCGGGCCACCCCGCTCAAGCCCGGCACTCTCAGACCTGCCTTAGGAGCTCCCGGGGGAAGCGGGTGGCCACTGCTGCCAGCCTGGGTGCTCCGACTAGGGAGGAGGAGGGCTGTGCGAAGCTCCTGTCCTGCCCCAGTTTCCCGTTTCCCCTTTTCTCGCAGCCACAGCGACATCACTGCAACTCGCTCTCGCTGAAGCTCCTGGCTAATGCCCTTTTCTGCCCGCTCGGCTGGCTGGCGCGGAGGGTACGAGCGACGCCGCGGTCCCCGCGCCCTGGCGCACTGGCACCCACTGTGCCGGGGTTCGCAGCCCGCGCTCGTGCAGGCTCCGCGCCTGGGGTCCTCGCGACCCTCCTCGGCGCGCCCAGCCGGCTCCGTGACCTCTGCGCTCGCGTCGCTCACTTTCAGCCTCCCGGGTCTCCAAGAACAGCATTTTTCCTTTCATTCTAAATGACTGTTGAGATTTTTTCTTGCACTGGGAGAATTGTTCATATCCAGGACTCCTTAAATTATTTTCCATGTCTCGATTATCAGAATACCATTCTGGTCAGTTCGGTAGCATTAAGACTATCCCATGACCTAGAGGATGATTACTATTTTGAATTTATACTCCTGTGGTTAAAGTACTAGTTTGATTTGTCCAGTCATCATCATTAAATATATTGTTGTTTTTCTGTCAATGTTTGCTCCATCATTCCAGGGCCTCCTGGCGTGTTAGTAATAGAATTCCCAACATCTCAGTAAATACTAGATAAAGTGTTCCAGTAGGTCGTGTTAATCTATCATTATTTGTACTTGTACGCTGTACCCCTCAAATATTTCCGTTGCTGGTTCCTTATTCTTTGTCACATTTTCAACGACTTTTTATTGACAACACTTGTAATATTATAGTTCTTAACATCCACGTTATTTTATTTCACCTTCTTGTAATACTTGCTATTTTATCATAATTTGTTTTGTTAGGATTGTTCATAGTTTTCCAGGTATTCTTCATCACACCGTTACAATATCTTGTACTTTTGTCATTATTTGTAATGTTACTGCTCTTAATTTGCTAGTTATTTTTTTCATTCCATCATTACTTCTTGAAATTTTGTTGTAATTTGTAATATTGCTGTAGCTAGAAATCCTCTGATTATTTTTCATGACATTGCTACACCACTTCTTATTGCTTTACCATTATTTATTATGTTGTAGAGATTAGTAATATCTTTGTCATAAAATGTCACAGTACCATTGCTATTGCTCTTAGGATTTTGATTATTATTTAATAGCTCACTACAGCATCAACAATAAATTATTTTACAGTATTCTATCAATCTTCGATTATAAGTATTTCCCTTAACAGTATTTTTCACTATTCACCTTTTCCTACAACCTTACCACGTGTCACACTATCTCGATTTCTTTTACTAATTTTATTGATTTTAATAGAATGCTTCTTATCTCATTGTTTCTATATTTGAAGTCACTTTGTCTTTAATCCTTTAAAATTTGTGATTACTATTTTCACTTGGTTCTGCAAGTGACCATCACATTATTGTTTGAAAGTCTAAATACTGTGTTATTTCTGCTGTTTACCCCTGTCCCTTTGATAATCGCTTATGTCCTGGTAATTCTTGATCATCGATCATTACTTACACAAAGTGTTCCTCGCTTTAATTCTGACAAGCCCGTTGCATCTAAGGCGCTGAAGGTCAGTGTTACGCTCACACACTTCTCTACACTGATACTCGCGGCAAGAACTCAGGCCCTGATCTTGGCCTTTCTTATTCTGCAAACGCCAATTTCAAGGCCGCAGCCTTTCTTGTTGTGGCTTAATCTTGTTTCCCCGGTACTGGCATTTTATTTTATTTTTTTTTTTAAAGAACTTTAGACCCAATTAGTCCCGTTATTCCGAAGAGAGAAGGGCTTTCGCCCCAACCGCTGGGACTCGGCGGAGCCGGGCGGCCTGACCTGGGGCGCTTCGCGCCGCCCTCCTGCAGCCCTGGCGGTCCCCACGGTCCCCACCAGGTCCCGTCTTTCACCCCCTCCCCAGTTCCTTCCTCGCGACCCCGCAGCCTGACCCCGGGCTCCGGGCGGCCCCTGTCCTGCGCGCGGGGCTCACCCCGTGCCCGCCGGCGCCGACACTCACCCTAACTGCGCTGCCGCATGCGGAGGCGTTTGCCGCCCGAGGTCCACCGCAGGCCGGGGTTCAGGGCGCGCGAGACCGCGGGGTTCCGACCGGGGCCGCGGGGTCAGAGTCCCGCCGCCCGCCGCGCCCTCGGGGCTGGACGCATCCCGGCTCTGGAGCGGGCCCTTGATCTCCTGGGCTGCACTTTGGGGCCTCAGCTCCCTCCTCCTCCTTTCCACCCTCCGGGGCCGCCCCCCACCCCCCGCGCTGACGTCGCCACTGTCAATCAGTCTGCGCCCGCCGCCCCCCGGGGAGGGGGCTCTGGGGTCCCCGCTCTGCGGCCCCAGGACCCCGAGCCCAGAGGCGGCCGCCCGCGCTCCCACCGCGTGGCCCCGAGCCCTCCCTGCAGCCTTTGGGCCCCACCGCCCGGGCCGGGGCCGGGCACCCCGCATGGTTTAGATTAGAGGGGCGGGAAGTGAGGGCGAGCGGCAGGCCGCGCCGCGCCGGCTGCAGACACCGAGCCTCGACAACCCGGACCGCCGGCCCCGTCTGCGGGGCTCCCCCGCCCTGGCCCGACCGGGCCCACGCGCAGGCAGCGGCCCGCCATCGCGTGCCAGGCCCCGTCTCCGCCCGCGCACACCCCTGCCCGACGCCCGCGAGCCCGGGGCAGCCACCCGCGAGCCCCCTCCCCGCCGCGGGCGCGCCCGGCCCGCAGCCCCGACCTCCGCCCCGGGCCAGGCCGCGCCCGCGCGCTCTCACACCTACACCCTCCGGCCGCTCCTCGCTCCTGCTCTGGGCGCGGGCACGTAGCGACGGCCCCGGGGCCCGGCCTGGTCTGGGAACCACTCCTCGGCCCGCCGGCCCTTCCTCGTCCGAACCCAGCGGGCAGCGGGCGTCACCCGGCCTGGCGCGCCTCGGAGCCGGCCACGGAGGTCACGGGTGAGGGCAGATGCCGCGCGGGCAGGGAGGAGGGCGGCGAGCGGGCCTGCAGTGGTGGCTGCGGGAGATGCCGGGCTGGCCTCGGAATCCGAGCCGAGGCCCAGGCTCCAAGGTGCCAGGGCTTGGCAGGGCCTCTTGGGGAAACTGGGACTAAGGGCCAGGTCTCTGCCGGCAGCTCCCCCTAATCATGGAGAACTGAAGAGGAATCCCAATGCCTGTTCCAGAGACGGAGGAGGATCCCGCTCCTCGCAGCGAGCTGGCCTGTATGTCAGAGAGTGAGACCTCTTAGC